GGATGGATGGATGGATGGAGAGCCGCTCGCTCCCCGGCACGGCGCGGTCCCCGGCGCGGGGCTCAGGCGCTCCGGAGCTGCTGCCCTGCCCTGCCCTGCCCTGCCCCGCCACCCCGGGCCGGCCACCGCCTCCCGCTGCCCGGAGAGCCGCGAATCGCCTCGCACAGCCCCAGCCCACAGCCAGGCCACCCTGGAGGAGAGCCGGAGGGGTGCGGGGCCGGGGGATGCTCCGAGAGAAGCGGCGGCGGCTCCCCGGGAAGGGCGAGGAGGGGAGGAAGGGCTGCGGTGGGGGCGGACGGGGAGGCGGTGGGATGCAGCCTCACCTGGGGAAGCGGCGGGGCGGAGAGGSAGGGGGGGAGCTGCCCCCGAGAGACGGCAGAGCTGCTAAAAAAAATAAACAGCCAAAGCGTGAAGCAGCCGGCAGCCCCGAAAAGCAGGCAGCCATTTAATAGGGACCGACAGCTCCGGTGGCCGGAGCGCTCGGGAGCGGGGAAGCCCCGCGCAGAGCTCCGAGCATCCACCGGGCACAGCAGCGGGGCCAGGGCAGCCCCCGCACCCCGCCCTGCCTGCGGCCACCCCGCCGCTCGGACAAACCGTGCCCCCTCCCCGCAGTCAGTGCCTCCATCCGCCACACCGTGCCTTTGAGCTCCTCTAAGTATCTGCTCGGTTTTTTTTCTTCCAGAAACAAAATAGCCATCGTTTGCGGGGCTGGGGGCAATTCGTCAAGACGTATTKTCACCACCTTTTCCCATTTGTAACAACTGGGATTGCACGAAGTGAGAAAACGCACTTTTCCGGCAGAAACAGGCGAGATTGTGTGGGTGATAAATTTCTCATTTATGTATTCAAGAGRAAAAAACCCAAACAACTAAGTTAAAGAACGTTTAAGCATTTTTTTTTTTTTTTAAATCGCAACACCCACGGCCCCCACCCCATTTTTCAGCTTTTTGTTCCGCGGCTGATGTTACAGAGCCGCTTTTCCTGTTCACCAGGGGAGGTTTCTGTTCTCACACAGCCAGGCTGCTTCACTGCCAAACCTCTTGAAATATAGCCCTGAAAGGAAGATGGTGGATATGCTGTGCAATGAATCATTTGACTTTAGATGTATAATAAGCACTTTTTTTTTTTTTTTCTTTTCTGCAATCATATGATAAGACCAGGAGGTCTCGAGATAAAACATTTTAATCCTGCACTGTGAAATTCACCTGCAAGTGCTAACTTGGGACTACATCTGACACTCCTGAGATGTTTCTGAGTCTGCTATTCATTACCATTACACCAGAGAAACATGTCATTCACCACATCTGAATATGATCAGATATCAACATGAACCTGATGCTGAGGGGTGGTAATATTTGGTGCTGGACTGACAGGAATTTTTGATTCACATTTTAACTTAAGAAGAATTCAAGCAATGCTAAAATCTCTCACATTTGTTCTCTGGTCTGCTGCACGTACCAATAGTAAGAGAACACTTGTTCCAGGCCCAGAGTAAACCTGTGCCATGTGTAGTGAAATCTACTCTCTGGCTATTCCAGCAAAAAGAAATTGAACATATCTCAAACAAATCCAATATATGTGGATATCATGGTGCATTATGTGTGGAAAATTAATGAATATCCTTGGGTTTTGGAAGTGTAAAGTTTCTGTTGAGTTATGTTTGGGTTGATGTGCATAACTCATATTTCTGCTAGCTGCTAGCTGGTCTATAGCAGTGACATTGTCTTACCAACACTGCAGGCTCTGTGTGCCCGGACAAGCCTATGGGGCAGGGCTTTAATCATTATAGACTGACACTTATACAGCACTTTTCCTTTCACAAATGTTTTCATGCTTTCCTATACACTATTGACAATACCAGTTTTTCCCTGACCACAGGGTTGTGGTCTATCTCTGCCATGTAAAATTTCTTATCACCTTCAAAATCTCCCATTTATTTTAAGCAACTTGTCAAAGAAATCGTTTCCYTCTTTTTCTCACTTATGTCTGTGTGTTTGATTGAAAAGTAGAGGAAATAACTGGTGTGAACGCCAGTATTGGCAAGATACAAAACTGTTCATGTGACATGTTTAAGGATTGCWAAGATTTTGGGTGTCTTAGAGTGGGCAAACAACCTGGTTCCCAGCTGGAAATGGTACTTCTGGCTCTAAAAATATCTCGATTAGACTACAAGTGCCGTAATCTCACAGAGAAGCCAGCAAAGATGGTCATATTTTAAATGCCAATTGCAGATTTTGATTCTTAGCTTTCAAGAAAAAAAAAATACCCCTCAAAACTGAAATAGTCTGAAAGGATGGCCCAGAGCCCTTGCTGAGCAGTGTGATAGTATGCAAGAAATGGGCAATAAAGTAACATCATACTTGTTCATCTTGTCAACCCTTGACTACAGCCGTATTTCCCTGTCACCACGAGTAATATCCCAGGCCATGTACCAAGAACTCRAAAGGGTTTTCAAATAGGTTGCTGTAAATGTATATGTTATGCAAAATAAACTTTCAGATGGAGTAAGAGTTTCAAGATAGGTTCTCAAGAGGTCCAATCACTCAAGTCAGTAGACAGAGGAGATGCTGATTGATCGTAGCCCAAGAACAGTAGCCCTGTATCACAAATAGTGTGATTAATAAGGGCAAAATCCCACTTTAAAATAAAGAWATCCTTTCATGCACCTCAACAGGCYGTTGTGTTCTGTGAAAGAGATGTTTCCTGAATTTTTAAGCATTTGGRTAAGATGCAGAAGTATCAGAAACACTCAGGTGAAACGATACATTCACATATCAGATAACATTTAATTCTCTTATAGAAGAATGTTAACAATAAACTATTTTGRTACATGATTTCAATTTCCCAGTCCTGTAAAGCTATAAATTCATGTAGAAGATRGCAAAATCTAGTCAACCCCTGTAAAAATTTCCTGAACAAGGTATCAGTATACTTCATCTTGGCCTCACTTGTTGCTTTAGGTTTTCAGACCCAGTGTGTCACAGTCCATGAACCATACACCACYCCATTAGCAATCAGCATAAAGATCCCTGTTACATCACATACACAGAAAAAAATATTCATGCAGGTGTCTTGATTCTGCTTTTCATGGGCACTGGAATTCACTTTTTCACAGTGACAATTTTCTGGGATTCACATCAGCTTCAACTACTGCATATCTAAAAGAATGCAAACTGGTAAATTTATTGACAAAAGCAATATTGTAAGACCTGCCAGCAATACTGCTCTTGGCCTTTAAAAAATATGAAATTGTAAGTGTTGGACAGAAAATGAGTCCAATAAGCTCCTTAGGAAACAAGTACCACTTGATAAAAGCATGACTGTCACTTAACTGTGAGAGAAGAGCAAATGGGAGGAGCCAATAATAACCTCTTATAGGTTTGCATAATTCTGTAGGACTTTAGATGTTGGAGCTCACATTTTCTTCATTTTGTAACTCACCACATGSATCTCCACAGGGTGGAAGACACTACAGGGAAGACTTTTCCCCATTTCAGGACCCAGACAGTATTTTTTTGAGTCAAATACCTGCTATGTCTTTAAACAAA